TGTTCACTCTGGAAGAAAGAAGTTTATTTTTGTAGGTAAGTAAACATTTGTTCTACTGTTTTATTTTAAAATATTAATCGGGATATATAGAATCAAATTTTGAAAACAAATATTGGACGTTAGAGTATAGTTTCAACATAAGAAGTGATTTTGCGGGAAAAACCAATCTATACTAAGCCCAGAATTTTGCCCGTTACTTTTATATCATGCTAATACTATAATGAGCTAGTAACTATTAAAGAGAATTGTCTATCAACCCTTGGCGAGGAAAAGGGTTCTGGGAAACTCGCTTTTTGCTCATTTGCTTGAGGCAACTTTATTTATTCCTAATTTAATATGGCAGCTTCCTGGGCAACGTTTTGCGACGTAGTTATAATAAAGGATTACAAAATTTTCGATCTTTAAAAGATTTAAATTTTTCTGTTCTTTAAGAAAATATTTTTCTGCTAAGGAGCTTCTTTAATAAATGAAACATTATTTCTTTGCTAACACTGAACTAGAAAGAAGGGACGACTTTTTTCTATTGTACACTGTAAAAAAATAAACAACCCGAATTTGTTAGCCAAATTCATTATTTTAGAATAGCCCGATATTAATAATAGAATAAGTATGGTTTTTAAAAACTGAGCCATAATTCATTCTTTACCTACCACACTTTTTAATTGCAACCCAAAAGCATAAGAGCACACTTGGGCCTAGAATAAGCAATTGTAATAAAAATTCTTCTTCTATATTAGTTATGTATTCGGGATGACCGTTTTCTATAAGATTTCTAACTTCTAATATGAAAGAATTACAGTTTTACATTAAGGGTGTGGTTACATAAGGAAATATATTTTCTACCCATATTCCTTACAGTTCCTGGAAAAGCGCTAAATGGGGTGTAAAGTGAAAATTTTAAGTCAGAAATTATAATATTTATAACGGAAGTCTTACCTCATAAATTATTCGATGTTATAACATACGCAGAATCAAATAAAAAATCTATAACTACTTTATTTATAACGAAAACTTACACGCTAAGTGGACAAAAACTTTTTTACTGTAAGGCTACCATTCTAGTTTACTATTAAATACGAATATAATAACGTAGGCACATTATTAACATCGTAATTGCGTCGCCCACCAAATATACATGCAAACTAGAAAACTTGGTCCTCACTAACCCAGGCGCTATCTCTAAAACACATTATACTCGCTCATGAAGTTTATTTATTTATTTTTAACGCCGACATGCTACAGGCTTGAATTACTATCAATTACTGTTGAACCACGTTCTTTCTTGACGCTTCATGGCGTTATCAACGAGAGGAAATTTGTTATATCATCACAGCTAAAAGCATACATACTAGAAAGAAGCAATGGCAATATAAAAACATTAATAATACCTATTATATAAGCATAATGAAATTTTAGTACCATTATAAATTAATTAAATAAACTATAATTTTAGCCATATCCACCCCCAAACAGATCTAAAAACTGTTTTGGTCTCGAGTACTTGGTGTGCCAGTGAGACTCATAATCAAGAGGTTCTGTAATTGTCTGTTGTGAAAACTAGCCCTAGTAAGCCAGTTTCGTGTAATTATAAAGAAAATGTGCTTAAATAGACTTAAAGTTGTACTCTTGAGGTGGTTGTTTGTGGCGCACAAACCAAAGAGCACCCATTACCATTATTAGGACGTAACTTTCTAATACTTGTAGTTGTTGTATGTTTTCCTTGAGAGATATGCCCAGGCAATGGAGGCGTTGGCCACCAGTGGACATTCAGTCGATTTATAAAACAAAAGCTTGTTTTTCCTAAAAACAATCTGTCTTTTCTCTCTCGTATGAGCTTAGCAGAACGTTAATTGTAACAGGTTAAATACGTCAACAAATCATATCAGGATTGAGAGTTATTGTAGCCCAGTGGTTAAGAACATTGAAGCGCATACCCAAGATCGGGGATTGATTCTCACCGAAGCCGCTTCTTTTTCGGTCTTCGTGATGGGTTAAGCTCTTTAGTGAGAGCATATGTCACTAAGCATTCCACAGATTCGTAAGTCTTCCATGGAAATAAAGAAGCTAAAAAGACAAAAAAGGTCACTGGAGGTTTTAGGTTTCAGGAGACTACTAGTTAACATCATTTAATCGTTATCATGGTCGTCTTCCATGTTTTATCTTGCGTTTGCTGTAATATATTTCAGGTGCAACAGAAGAAAAAGTCTACCAAGTGGACTTGCACAGTAAGTTATTTTGATATACCTGGAAATATATCTTTTAAAATTATGAAAATACTTTTATATTAATTTTTTATATTATTATTATAGCATATATAAATAAATTTTTTTTAATTTTATTTAAATATGTAATTGCTATTTTTTTTGATTTGCTCGGCGTTAGGTTTGTGGGGAGAAACAATCTATACAACGAATTTATAAAGAAGGCACATCAGAACAATGCAGAAATCTTGTTATGCATCTTAATAAAAACGGAAAGGAACAAAATGACCCTTTGGAGAGTTCATTTTTAGATTCCGACTGTAATAATCCCGACGCTGAAGTATTTTTTACCCCAAAAGATGCAACAGTTTTTACCAAAAAATCATCTGAAGGTTACCATAACTACTCAGAAGACTCTAAAAGGTAATTTAGTATAAGTTTAATATTACTTTAGTGTAAGGATTGCATTTTAAAATAGTTCCAGCAGATGGACCAAATATTTGTAACCAAAGTTCTGAAAATTGTTTTTTAGGCATGCTATAAATATTGTCGCATCTTAAAATTTAAATTCATACTATTGCTAGTATAACGGAACTATACCAATGAGGTTTTCTACGGTGTTCACCGAGAACCTCATATACGTTGGTAAATAGATGTAGTGTACTTTTAACAAATCTGAAAGATCTAATAATGCATAATTTATAGGTAATAACTAATTTCTTTAAACTTAATACGTCAATTGTTTAGCATTACAAAGTCATAGTTAAAAAAATTTCAAAGAAGACTAGGTATATACAAAAATTAAAAGAATATTAAACATTCTTTATGCAAGATTTCATAAACATTTTTAAAATATTACAGACAAATAATAATTGAATTAATATGAATTCTTATAGTTTACACCAAGTATATATAACCGCGCAAAACACATGGCTTTCCTAACCTGCGCATATTATAAGAGTAAGAAGCACTAACTAGTGCTGTAAACTAGGTAAAAGCCTCGCTTAGCAAAAAAAAAAAACTTAGAAACTGAATACATATAACCACCCCGAAAATTCCAATTTGCAGAAAAACTGCACAAACAGTCTTGAGATGTTTTACCAAGAAATACTGCAAAGTTCCTTTAAATGGGAAGCAAAAAAGTTGTGTAAAAAAGCTTAACTTTTTTAACATATGCACTATAACTACCATTTTTGAGAGGAAGGCAAAAACCTTTTATTTTAGTGGAACGTAAACAGAGACAAAAAGGAGTTACAGCTGGTTTTTGTCGAAAAAGATTTTCTACCTCGCACTCACCACGGAGATAGAAAACATACAGTCGAAAAACTGATATAAACCGTATCCCTTGGTACAAATCTCGATAAATTCGAAAAAAGGGTTGCCTTTAATAAAAGTAAAGATAAAGGAAAGTTATAAACATAAGTATAAGAAAGTTGTTAATTATAAACAAATTAGATGATAACAGCTCACAGAGACAAAATTTAGAGAGAATCACGAGCTTATGGAGTATAAGGATACAAACAGAATTCGGGATGATTATTCTTTGTTTTACCGGGGACTTGTAAAGTTTTTAATGTCCACATATTAGACGTTTAGAAATAACTACGGCCACCAAACAGTTAATCCCAGCGAGAACATTTAGTTGGACAAAAGACATGATTAGAATTACTAAACTATTAGCAAGATATAAAAGAGTCGTAAGGTTAAGCTTTGTTTATAACAATCACACAGTGATAATGAGAGTGAGTCCGTAGAAACTGGCATGGGGATTTTCCGCAAGCCTCTAATATAACCCATTGAAACTCATTAACATGGGTATTGACCTTAGAGTCGTGTTTTTTGAGGCAGAGGATAAGCGTATTATAACAAGTACTAATGTACAAGGATGGAGGCGAATCTTCACTCCTCTAAGTAAACTTTTTACTCCACTCTCTTTTTTAAAAATAAAAATTGTTTTTAAAATAGCTCACAAGAACTATACGCTAAATGGGAGGAGTTAGCTCCTTTGACTTCAACACAGATAGAATCTGTTTCGGCTTTAGCTGAATGTTATAAGGCACTTGTCTATTAGTCTTCTCTTGAATTTTGCGAAGTTATTTTATTTTTAGACTTCAATTGAAGACGGTTTCGGAAATTCTAATACTAAAGATGATGAAGACGTTACTTTAACACCCATTAATTCTGTGAAAGGGTTTTTAAAATGGTTCTTTATCCTTGAGAAAAAGCTGAAAGCGAAAAATGATTCTGCTTTGAGGTTTTTCTAGAATAATTTCATTTAAATCTAAAATTTTTTATAATTATAGTAGATGATAAAAAAAGTTTAAGTTTAGGTGGTTTTAGGAGTAAGAGGCTTTTGGTATAGCGTTTGGTTTTCTATTATGTGTTATAATAATTTTATGTAGCCTTTAACTATTCAGCCCAAAGGTTATTATTTAAGCTTATTAAACAAAGTATATATCTTGCGCAAACCTGGTCTATATAAAAGCTTTCCTTCAAAGCGCTTGGCTTTCTTCATTAACTTCAATATTGAAGTCTTGGAAGGAATTGAATCCGCTTTGGGGTTCCTTGAACGTCTACATAAGCAATGCAGATTAGTGAGGTGTAGCCGGTCTACTTAATGTTATGTTCATCCCTTCGTTTAACTTTTTTAGCACTAAAACTAACGGACTCCATTCTGCTTGCACACTACTAATGGAAGAGCAATCCGCTCTAAAAGCTCACGCAGAGCAAATTTCATCACGCCTTCAATTTTTTTTAGAACTAGAAAAAGCTACTATTTATCTTAATTCTACGTCTGTAGTTGTTTTTTCTCCTGCTTTTATCACTTTGTTAAGAAAGCTCGACCACTCTATATTGTTTTTAGCCCAAAAGGTCTTTAATATTTTTTGATGCGTTTCTTGTGTCACTTTTTAAAGTTGCTATAACTTTTCAAGAGTTACTATAAAGATGCTAAGCTGTATTTAGCAAAGTTTCAGCGCCTTCTCCATCAAGCCTTACTGTTTGTGAAAATAGACGTCACAAAAAGCTTTAAATCTGCTTCTTACAACTCACTTTTACATTTACAAGTCTCTCTACTCTTTATTATAAAAGTGGCGAGCACAAATATTTTTTGTCACAGAAAAATGATGAACTTTTTTTTTGTCTGTATGGAGCTTTTAAAGCGAACTCTCTCATTAAAGGTTTAATGCAAGAACTCTACTTAAAACGGCAACAGCAGGCAGAGTGCATTTCGTAATATTCCTGGCTTCCCTCAGAGCGCTAACTGACTTTTTAAGCTACTTTGAAGTTTTCTCCGATTGCGAGACTTGCTACTTTCGGCAGCGTCGCGCACTTCTTTTTAAAGTAGTAAACAAAAAAATCGCTTCTATAGAGTTTAAAGGACCCGAGCTCATCGCCCCCTACGTAGTTCTTTTAGACAGAAGCGATATTATCTGGGGCCCGTTATATAACGTAATTCTCTTATCAGGCCCGTCAGTGTTGCTCGTTCACGCTTAGAATATATCAGCAAGAAGTCGAGCTTTATGGCCTATTTTTTCCTGCTTATACTCAACTTCTCTTGTAAAGCTCTACTTTCTATTAATAGTTCATTAATTTTTTAAAGTTCGATTATATTATAAAGTGAGTACCTCGAAGATTTATTAGAGAATTTATACAACCAACTACGACCAAAGATAATCAAACTTATCGTCATAGAAACGCTAGCTGAACTATGCGAAGTGCTGAGCTCAGAATTTTTAGACTTAAAAAAAAGTAATGACCAAGTAATTGCTCCTCTATCCTAGCGGCATTAGTAGGTCTGTTATAAACCTAATTAGGTCTCCCTTTTGTAAGCTTTAATGCGACCATTCGTCAGCTGATTCAAGATGTACAAAGCCGTCTAATATTTCGTGCACAGGTTTTTTTGCTTGACGCCGTTTCGAAAAGGCGGTATTAAAAAATAATATATTTCCCAGATCTTTATTATAAAGGATATTGTAAATTTTAAGCCTACACCCGAAGATTTGGACTACCCAGCTAAACTGACTACTGGTTCCTTCTGCGGAACCAATATAATATGCTTACCACTATCATTTTTAACAGGAGATCGTTACGATCAGTGGTGCAAACCGTTGCAGAAAACGCTTGCCTTTTTGGCTACGATCTACCGTTGCGTTGACGTGAGATCTTTGCAAAGTTTTTGTGCTATAGTTAAATTTTATCCCATACAGTATGTAATTTTTAGAGGTCTTGCTAGTGAGGCTATCAGCGCATGCCTTAGTTGCCTACAAAATTTAAGCGATCTTCTGGCTCAAAAAGTTTACTGCTGACTTTATTTTTTTTCTTGTACGCGTTGTACCCTACTATTACTTAGTCAGAACTGGACGCATGCCTGTTTCTCCTTGCGCACTTACTGCTTCTAAAAGAGCAATTAACGCCCTTTGACATCGGCTCAACCTGGCAAAGGGAGTCCATAGCAGAAACAGAGATAACTGGTTCTTGAGTTTCTCTATGTTGTGGGTTAGAGCAACGATGATCTGTTAGCAGACCAGGAAGAGCCCGCTTCTTACGATCTTCTTCAGCTTTTTACAAGAGACGGGCCGCTCGTACCTGTCCCTTTTTCTCTTCCTAAGGAGGTCGCCAAGATTTTCTGTTTTGTAAGTTATACTAAACGTTTTTTTAATAAAGCAGAAAGTTGAACAGCACTTCGAAGTTGCTTACGAAGCCTTTTTGCAATTTTCTGTTAAATATTTCACTGAATTCCTGCGCGATTCCGTTGAAAAGGTTATTATAAAACAACTTTCTGCCGTAGCTTTTAATTAACTTTAAACAATTGCTTTTACATGTCGTCCGCTTTATATAAGAACTCTTTGAACAAGTTTTCGGCTGGCAAGTTTATGATTATTTTTATTTAACGCTTATTTCTTTCCATGATTTATATAACTATCTTTTAGAAGAGTCTCTTAAATCGTTCAGGTGTCCTTGTCTAGCCGAACTCCAAGCTAAAAATAAGTTATTCTGTGAGCGCCTGCATCTCTACTTGGGCGAAGTAAAGGAAGAGCAGGAACTCTACGCTGTAGTTAAGGTAAAACAACTATAAACTAAAAGCACTGTTTTAATATTATGATTCGACTAGAAAAAAGTTTTGGATGGTTATCAAATCTTCTGCCAGAATAATTTAAGCAACTTTGACTTTTCGGAACTTTACAATTCAATTCCTCGAATCCTTATTTATGACAAAAAAATTTATGACTGACCGTAAAGACTTTTCCTTACTAACAGCTTTAAAGAAACCGTTTTGAGGTATAATAAAAAAATGCATTGGTAAAATTAAGAAAAGTTCATAGCATATTGCTTTTATAATTAAGTGCTTTTGAAAAGAGTCGGTGGACTTTGCACCTTTCGCAGTCCTTGCACGTGTGTGTATGGGAATTAAGTGCAGTGATTCTGGTCCCTTCGGAATTTTTAGTAAGCCCGTAGAGAAGAGTCAGTGTTTCTTCGCACCACTTTAATAATCCGCCTAGCTTCTTTCCATATGAAGTCCCAACTGCAGTGCATTTCGTAGACCATTTTTGAGAGCGCTAAAAATTTTTTACGGGTCTGAACATAATAAATCACCTCGCGAGCAGTACAAAGGGTAGAGATTCCCTTTTGGAAGTAGTAAAGCTTGAAAAAGGGAAAGAAAGTTTATTCCAGGTAAATACCGTAGGTAAGGATTCGAAGAAGAAACCGTTGAATAAACTACTTTCTTCGTTTGCAAAAAACGTTTCACATACAAGAGAAGTTTTTTTAAAAGTTGGGGAAGCCTTAAATTTTTCAAGAAGGGGCCTTTCGGTGATGTGGTCAACTTTATGTAAGTTTTCCTTAATGTGACGATAACTATCTAAAAAAGAATGCTCTTTTGAGCGATCAAAGAAAAAGACAAAAAATTAAGTCTGCTGCTTCTTCTTCTCCGAGTTTAAACTTAATAAAGTTTTTAGAACCCGGAATATATACTAAGAACTACAAGCTGTGCTATAACCGGAAAGGAGGCTCAATTTAAAAATAGACGAACATATTAAGAGACAACGGAACTTTTTCTTTCAACAATTTTTTAATGAAATAAACCGCCATCGGCCAGTTTCTTTCGTAGTAACAAACTTTAAACAATAATTCTTAAAAATGAGCTTTATAAGAAACTCCTTTGTAATAAAGAGCTTCTAGTACTAAGAGTACTCTATGACTTGAAGGATACGCTTCGCATGCCTTTTGCATAAAAGTGATGGTAATTTCATTTATAACCAGATGGTCGTTTTCGGGAATAAAAAGTTGTTTAAAAAACCAAAAGGACAACTCGGGACACCTTAAATTAACAACAAAAAGATAAGCATTGAAATCTTCTATAGATGGAATCAATTTCTCGTTTTGTTTATAAAACGGACTTTTTTCGAAGTGGAGCTGCCAAGTTGTTCCACTCTCCTAAACAATTCAGGCCGCGATTTTTGGTTATTAGAGACAATTTATCTTGCAACAAAGTTGAAAGGTACTTTGGAGGTGCATCATTTTGATGACCTGCACAAAGTTAGGCATCGTTTCGCAACTTATATATAATATTTGCAATATTTATATTATTGCTGAGGTAGCCAGAGTTCTCTTTAAAGCTAAAATTAGAATTACTGACAACTTCGGAGTTTTTCTCTGTCAACACGGCATGAGTTCCATAATTTAAATCTTCTGACGTGCATGTACTATTAACTTCCTTTTTTTCAATAAATAAAGTAATTTCTTGGTGAGCTCACTATGCTCAGGAGGTATATTGGGTGAGGTGAAGGAAAATTTTCCTTTGAAAGTAAAAGAAACTATTGGTTATAGAGATAAACCATGTATTAAAAAAACAGTAGTGACGGGCTTTTATAAGAGTATTAGTCCGATGAAAGTACGCATATAAGTCCATAACTAGTGAAAGGAGTACTGCGTACACATCTTACATTGTATGAATCTTCCATACAAGCCACTGTATGACGTAAGGTTTCCACTTCTCGCTAGTAACTCAGCCAAATTAGCAGGCCATTAAGACTAGATAATAAGCCTTAACCCCGCCTTTTTCCCTTATACTCTTCCAATACATCACCTCACATATTTTTCCTATCAATTTTTTAAAAGCGATCCTCAAGAATTTTGTAACAAGATTTTACTGTTCTTCTCTTTATATTTTAATTCTTCATTTTTGTACATATTAGTATTTTTTAAATAAATTTTAAATTATCACTCGTACTGATTACATTACACTAACTTATGAGCCGTTTTTCTCATGAACTACAGTTTTTATCGGTAGTACTTCTACAGCTTGGACTAACAGGAAATTAATGTACCTCTTTTTAAAAAAATGCAACTTTATGTCTTGATAAAAGGAAGCGGTTGCAGGGCCTCGAAAATATTTATATTTATTTCCTAAAAAAAACTTTTAGCACTTTTTATATCTATACTCAAATCTATTTTTATTTCAGGTCAAGGAAAATGGTTTATAGACTAAGCTTTTTAATATTTCGTAATAAAATATTTTGAAGGTGTTAGCGGCGAAGAATTATTATTATGTTAGAAGATAATTAAAAAGTTTAATTCTAGACTAAGAGAAAATTTAGGTTACCACATCGTCCAGGATAAATGATTAAAAAGTAGGAAGTTTATAATCTTTCTAAAAAGCACACTTGCACAACTATGGGCGCCTAAGTTATTATTGTTAAAGTTAACACTGAGAAGCCGGCAATATACGAATATAAATGAACCTAAAACTATAAAAAAATTAGTTAACCTTTGGTTTTCAAAATATAGGTCGGACTCGGAGAAAACTTCAGTATAGTTCCCTCTATAACTTCCACATTCCGGGCTATACCATTTTTACTTATGAGCTTAAAAATATTAACTAAGGTCTTGGGTCAAAATTTATATAGCAGAAATTCTTTGAAAAAGATATTTATTTAAGAATTATATATATGAAGACCATCAAAAGCAACAGGGAGCATCTCATGCTGAAGCATTTTAAAAAAACTAATAGGATGCATGTGCGCTTGCTTATCATGTGGTCGTTAAACGATTCTCTCTTCTTTCTTCTCTACAAAGAAGCAAGGAGTTGCTCTAACCGGAGACGGCGACTTCGAGCTCAAAGCTGCATTGAGATTGGATAATAGTTTTAATGCGGTCTACCTCTTCAAGTACACGAGTGGTGAGGGCCAAGACACGCAGTTTTCTGATGAGGCTTTGTAGCTATTATTATTATTATCAGAACATAATAGGCGGCAAAGACCCCAAACATCCAAGTATCACCACGTTTATGAGGAGAGACTCCACGCGACAGAGTTGACCGCCTATGTTGGAAGTTGACTGCCTTAACACGTGTTATGTGGCGCCTTATCCACTGTGGTTTCTTAGGCTCTAAGCTGAGCTTACCAGCCAATGCAGAACGAGCACAAACTTACCTTTAGGAGTCCATAACCATTCCCGCGCCTGCGGCGGATTATTATTTTTTTTCAGGAGTAAGACGTCGCACTTTTTTTCACAACTATTATTTAAACACCCCCAAAAGGCTTTGAATTCCCTATAAGCATCGAGGCTCTTTCTCCGCTTTCCCCACTTGTATTCAAAAGGAATCAAAAAACTAAATAGAATTCAGTCTATAGTCTGCCCTGCAGGTCGGGTGGTTTCTCTGGTGTTCGATTACTTGACACCATTATTTGTTAAGCTTACTACAGTAACGAGAACTTGCTGATATGCGTTCCCACGGGCGCAGGTAAAACGAATATTGCTCTCATGGCCATTGTGCGCGAGATAGAGAAAAATATGGTTTTTTCTATCTTTTTTTTTGGTCGTTTCGTTTAGCGAATTGCTATACGCTTAACAGGTTAATGAAGTTGTCCAACTTAAAACTTTTAAAGTAGTTTACGTGGCGCCAAGGAAAGTATGTTTTTTTCTTTTTTCGCTTTTTTTTTTTGAGGTTAAAGACATTTCTTACATAAAAGGCGCTGGCTTCTGAAAGGACTCAGAATATTGGACGGAAATTAACGCCCGCTGGGTGTCGCTGTTCGCGAGTTAATAGGTGACATGCAGCTTTCAAGAACTGAGGTCAGAAATACACAGGTATGTCGGCGGGCTCAAGAGGGTTCCCTTATTCCTTGCAGCTATTTATTTATTAATTCGGTGGGTGATCGTAACCAACCCCGAAAAGTGGGATGTGATTACGCGAGAGTGTGTTGGAGACACTGAACTATCCCGAATGGTGCGCTGCCTTATTGTGTGCGACCCTCTTCTCACTTTGCGCCTGCTTAAACAAGTGCAACTGCTAATCATTGATGAGATCCATCTTCTTCATGACGAGAGAGGATCCGGCGTAGAGGCGCCCTTATAAGACTTCACTGGTCACCATTTCCGGAAACTCACCACACGTGAAGAGTTTAGTCGCGAGAACACTCCGACAGGTGAAAGCAAGCCAGAGAATGATCCGCCTCGTGGGATTGTCGGCGATGCTGCTCTGTGTAGTAAACTCATATATATATAGGATGTGGCGCAGTTTCTCCGCGTTAACTTTTTCAAAGGCCTCCTTTTTTGATGGCAGGTTTCGTCCAGTGCCACTGACTCAAACGTTTGTTAGGGTCAAGGTACGACCCTATTCTTCTTCTATTGGCTCCTTTTTACCCACAGCCATTTATTTTGCGTGGTACAGGGAACAACCAACTCAAGTGAGTGACCATATGAATGAAGTTTACTTCAAGAAGGTGCTAACTTGAGTTTTTATAAAGAAGCGCGCTTATTGCTAGAAACCTTAGGATCTCAAAGATGTGTAAACAGGCGACCAGGTGATGGTTTTGTCCATTCCCGAAACGACACTTGAAGACCGCTGAAGCTTTACTGGAAAGAGCTCGAAATATTGGCAGGGGAGGTGGCAAACTCTGCTCTTCTTACACTCATATCATGACCCACCATTGGTTTAGATGATTTTGCGTCTCCTGAATTGAGCACATTCAGCAGGAAACTTCTCAATTCTTCCAATAGGACACTGCAGAACTTTGGCCCACGTGGAGTCGCCGTACATCATGCAGGTAACTATTTAACTTTTTTTTTATTTCCACTTCTCTGTAGCTCTACCACTTTTGTGGCAGGTACGCTCCGTTCTGATCGTAACTTAGTGGAGAGGCTTTTTTCTGAGGGTGTCTGACTCTGCTATTCTCCAGCGCTCAAGTTTAGTAATGATAGCCTATCATAAAGCCAAATTCGTGTTCTCTGCTGCACAGCCACCCTAGCGTGGGGTGTCAATCTTCCTGCGCATGCTGTAATTATTAAAGGTAATGACCTTGCAAACTGCGCCCATTGGCTTGATGGCAATGCTCAACAGGAATTAGCCTCTACGATTCGCGGACAGGCGGTTTTCGAGACTTGGGGTAAAATATGTGGCTAACATGGATCTGTTCATTAGGTAATATTGCTTGACACGGCAGAGTGCTGGACGTGCAGCAAATATTTGTACGCGCAGGCCTGCCTCAGTTTGATAGTTTTGAAGAAGTCTATATACTGACGCCCGCCAATAAGTTACCGCACTACATTACTGCCCTGGCCACTCAAGTTTGCTTATTTGCTTTCATATCAAAATCCTTTCTAACATTTTTTTTCTTTACCAGGCGCCCATTGAAAGTCAGATCACTAAAAATCTCGCCGACCATCGTTAACCTACCGCCACTCTTATGTTTACTTGTACGGATCCATACGATCGCCTGTTGTGGGGGGGAGTAGGTGGACGATGCCGTGCAATGGCTTAGCTACTCGTTTCTCTATTTACGGCTCAAAAAAAACCCCTTGAATTACGGCGTCCCGTGGGGCGAGGGGGGACGTAATCCCTTCTACTCTGTAAGCCACCTTTTCCTTTATTATAAGACTTGTAAACTGCCCCGTCCACCTTTAAGGAGCCTCAAAGGAAGTGTATTTGCACCGCCGCTCAGCTTTTAGACGATATAAGGATGGTTCGTTATAGTCCTCACACAGCTGGGTCACCTTCTTATTAGTGAAACCTCTCTGCTGTTGTGAACTTTTCCTAATAAAATGGGTTTCCTTCCCTCGCGGATCTTGGTAGGATAAAGAGCTACTTTTACAACAGCGCCGCCAGCGTTATTGTTTCTTCTCTAACTGGTCAGTGGACACGTGCATTA